CCGATGTGGGGCTCGATCCCAGGACCCTGGGATCATGACCTGAGCTGAAGGCAAACGCGTAACCATCTGAGCCACCCAGGTGTCCCCAAGTTCCACCATAATTTAAAAGTAACTTTGGATCTTAGAAATTTGTTACTCACATACTTAAACCAAAAACTTTTTAGTTTAATAAGATCAGTCAACTAACAGAATACTTCCCCCTACTTTGAGATTAGTAAATGGACGTTTCATGTGAGTTTATATTTTACTATGACTTAACTTGCCATAAGAGCCTTCACTTCATTAACAATTTGACACATTGGATATTTAAAATTAGGTTTGTTTGTTTTCTTTTCAATGTTGCAGAATGCAATTCCCATTTTTATTTATTTATTTATTTAAAGATTTGATTTATTTATTTGACAGAGAGAGACACAGTGAGAGAGGGAACACAAGCAGGGGGAGTGGGAGAGGGAGAAGCAGGGTTCCCGCCGAGCAGGGAGCCCGATGCGGGGCTCGATCCCAGGACCCCGGGATCATGACCTGAGCCAAAGGCAACCGCTTAACCGACTGAGCCACCCTGGCGCCCCACAATTCCCATTTTTAAAATACGTTTAAGAAATGTAACTCTTCTAAGGAGATGACAAAAACAAGAACCTACAAGAGTAATTCGTTCTAAGGAGGATTTTTATATCAGCAGTATAAAATCAGGTCACTGGTACTACTGTTTTTCCCTGTACACATATGTAAAGTCTAGTCATAATTGTTCACTCAGAGACTTGATAAAAACAAAGAACGTTGACTCAAAGAAAAGAATTTAAAACAAGAGCCGGCATTTGCAATGGACAGTCCAATCCATACCAATTTCTGCAGAAGGCAAAATCCAATAACCGTTTACAGATACTCTGATGGTGGGAATTATCCTTCTGCTTTTTCTCCTCATGCTTCTATCTCTCATGGTGCTGGAGGCCATCATCTTGCAGGCTGGCTACACCAGCGTCTCTTTCACAGGTAAATTTGTAATTGTGTTAATATCGCTTAACTTCTTTGAATGAACTCTGCAGGAACACTGACACTTACTGTTCATTGTGGCATGCACACCTGACAAGTCATTTCTCACTTTTGAGATTGCCAGGGGGTATAGAGTCAAGATGAATCATAGGAGAAGAGTTCTTTCACTCAGCTCACCATCATCCTGTGCATTTCTGCATCTATTTAAAAACTAACTTGTGACCCCTAGTAATATTCCACCTTCAGTCACGCACATAAATTTCCTTTAAGACCGTTACTCTCACTAGTGTTAGTCTCACTCAGAGGTGATTTTGACTTGTTAGAGTGGACGAATTATGGGACTCCCAGAAACATCAGATCAGTTTTAAGTCTCTTAGTATGGCCTAAATGGAGTAAATGTGTGTTTGCGACTGTGTGCACCTTGAGCACATCGATTTTAAAATTAAAAAAGTTATTTAAAATTATAAAAATTTACAATTAGTTATAAGTTATTTGGCGACATCTTGTACAGACTTTCTTGGAGAGCTTTTCTGCGGTAAGTTCAAGAAAAATTGCTTCAGAAATGCTTGGGAGATGACTATCCTTTTATATTTGTCGTTAAAGTCCTGGCAGTAGCTTTGGGCCACTTAGACAAATGACAACAAATGAAGTTACTCTGCAGTGATTGCCTCATATATTTACTCTTATTAAGTTTTATTTTGTTTTTCTAACTTTAGATATAACTGGCAAGGCATGATTGTTAGGATGTCAGATTAATTTTCTAGAAAAATTCACGGCAATGTGTATTGATTTGTTTCAATAATGACATGAAATTACCCCCAAGTAGCCCTCAGAGTAGTTTGAGGTAATAAAGCTCTTGATAAACTATGTTTCTACATGTATCTGAATGTATATGTGTATATAAATAAATTTGTATTAAAATTTGTGGAAATATCATGGTTTAAAAATATGTAAAATGGGATCTAACCATATATTTATAATAAACCTTTTAATGCTATTATAATATAAATTTCATTTCCTACCAGAAGAATCCATAATGACACACCAACTTAATCAAGCTTTGAACTTTTTACTATCAGTTATTCTATCTGTAAAATTATGTCTATTTTTTTCTTCCATAATTGGAACATTATGAGTATACAATATGCTAAGATTTTCTAATGTACAAAATTAGCATTATCTACTTAAGGTATTAAAAAGTACATTGGGGAGGGTAAGTACTATGATGAGCGCTGTGAATTGTGTAAGACTGATGAATCACAGACCTGTACCCCTGAAACAAATAATACATTATATGTTAATTAAAAAAATTAAAAAAAATACAATAATATATCTATCTTCAATGTTATTTTACATATTTCCAGAAAAAACTAAAGGGATGAAACAGAAGACAGATTCTTAATATTTGTTAAATGAGAGTGATTGTCACTTGATATTCCAGTTTGGAAATTTTATTTTATTTTATTTTTAAGATTTTATTTATTTATTTGAGAGAGAGAGTGTATACACAGGAGCAGGGGACTTAGGGAGGGGTAGCAAGGGGGGCAGAGGGAGAGGGAGAAGCAGACTCCCTGTTGAGCAGGAGCCCAACCCTGGGCTTGATCCCAGGACCCCTAGATCATGACCTGAGCCGAAGGCAGACACTCAACCGACTGAGCCAGCCAGGAACCCTTCTAGTTTGGAAATTTTAAAACAACACTCAATTAAAAAAATTAATAGTAGAATCCCAATAGCTTTATATAATAATTTTTAACTCAAGATTTTAAAGAACCTTTATATTTATGAGCCTTATAATACCCTTGAGAATTCTATAGATGTAGATATTACCAACTACCCTTAGGTATGAAAGATTAAAATGATTTGTTCAATGACCCAACATTAAGGAGGAAGCTGAAACTAACAACCCATTCTTTTTCTTTTCCTAACAAATACTTTACCTGATTGATTGAGCTATTTTTTTAAAGTAGCATTTCTGAAGGACACTTATTTTCCTGATTAGTAATAGTGCTTTTGCTGATTTGCTTTTAAAAAGCAGATGTCTTCTACCGTCTATATTTTGTTTCTGTTTAACGTTTGGAGATCTATTTGTTTTGAATTCAGTTTTGAAGTTTTCCAAGAAAACTTACTTCTTATGATTTATTGTCCTTTATTCTATATCTATGACAAAGTATTAAAAGGCTATTATGATATCAATATTAATAGCAATGTGTTGATAGAAATGAATATAATATAGAATACCTAAATAAGGAAATTATATTTTTATTTAATAAAAGTTTAAGAGAAATTAACCAATTTATAAAACCAAAAACTATATTTTCAACTTTCAAATGGATTATAAGAATATGCCCAATATTTGAGATTTCTCTTAATGTGAAAGATAAACGGGATGAACTTGAATTACTTGATCTCTGAAGATTTTAAGCTTTCTCTGATTTTCAAACCTAATATTTAGAAGTAAAATAGTAATTCATTTGAGTCAACACTGAAGGTCAAAACATAACCCACTTTCTCTTGAATCAAAAGATGTTTACAATAATATGTTTTCTGTAGCAAAGCATTTTGTGGTTGATGCTAATTACATTTTTCACTTCAAAGTCTTTAAAAGGAATATAGGTACAAATAGACTTAATAAATATTTATTAGGTGAAAGAATTCAGGAAAGTCTCTGGGTTTGGAAAAATGTATATATATAAAATACCAGTAACATCTTCATTATGGATTTTTTTTTAAAGATTTATTTATTTAAGAGAGAGAGAATGAGAGAGATAGAGAGCACGAGAGGGAAGAGGGTCAGAGGGAGAAGCAGACTCCCCGCCGAGCAGGGAGCCCGATGCGGGACTCGATCCCGGGACTCCAGGATCATGACCTGAGCCAAAGGCAGTCGCTTAACCAACTGAGCCACCCAGGCACCCTTCATTATGGATTTTTAACTTCAGCTGAATACAGAGCATCCTGTCTTCCTATATTACTGAATCAAGTCTGGAAATTATATACACCAAGCAAATAATGCCATAGAGAATATGTAGCATTAACATTTTAATTAAAATACAAAGTGATAATCCACATGATGCTGTAGCTAAGCATTTGATGATCTCCAGTTATATTAGTAGTAACATTTTCATTTGCTAACTAAATAACTGGGTAATTAAAAACATGTAATTAAAGCAAAGTCATATCCTAACTTATGAAGTCAATGAAAACAAAAGAGCGTAGAAAAACCTTACTGAAAAATAATTACTATGCCATTATAATGAGATACATTTTTACCAATATATCTTACAAGGAAAATAAAAGTCAAACTTTGCCCAATGCTGCCTTTTTAAGATACTCTAGAAGATCAGGTGATAAAGTAAGTCCTGAATCATAAACACAATACAGAATGATTTTATCCCCGTGAGTTTTTTGCCAGTCCAAAGTTATTGTGAATGGCAAAGGGTGAAAGATAATATTGGAAACAGTAAAGAATCAGTATACGAACTTTTAAAGATTAAGGCCAGACTCTTACTTTGTTACTCAGTAACAATTAATTACAGGGCACAAGTATATTTTTTGCTACCTGCATTGTTACCACATTTCTCACCAGATGGAAGTGGGCAGAATCTTTTAGATGTAGTCCAATTGGAGCCCAGTATGAAGGATGGTGTAGATCAAGGTACCACTGTTCTTGAAAGAGGAAAAGGCCTGAATGTACATAAGCAATCATGAAGAAAGGAGTCCAAGAGGAGCCTTTATGTCAGAGTTCAAGGGCAATAAGAGTCATATTTTGCCTGGTGAACTTGATTGACCAGAAGAAGGCCACTTAGCCAAAAAAATAAAAAATAAAATAAAAAGCAAAAAACCCAACACCCCCAAACCAGCACATTACCAAATCATACCAATGAACACAGGGACTTTTCAGTCATCTCTTTAAAAATGAACTCTTCCTTATATTTATTTATGAAACACTATGAATGGTATCAGCAATACTTTTCCTCTTTCTTTGTGGCTGACACAAATTAACTCTCCAGTCTACCAAGAGAGCTTGAAATGTCACAGTCCCTTTTAGAGTGACACAGACCTCTTCCTCCTTCTGGCAAAGTCCTCTACATGAATGAAGTTGGAGAGAGCCTTAGAGAGGTGACTATCTGATGTCTCCGTGCTGCTCCCAAAGTCATAGTTCTTGATGCAAGGGCACAAGCAGTGCACAATGGCCCGGCGGATGTAGCTGTCAAAGATATAGTAAATGAAAGGGTTGACGCAGCTGTTGGCAAATGCCAAAGGCCCACTCACCTCCATGCCCAGCTGGAGAAAAGCTGAGGAAAAGTAGACTTCTTGCTGCAGCCCAGAGACAATGGCCAGGAGCTTGAAAGTATTGAAGGGCAGCCAGGAGAAGACAAAGGCTGCCACGACAATCAAGATGATCTTTATGGATTTCCTCAGCTTTCTGTTATGTTTTCCTGACTGTTGGTAATGTGCACACAGCTTCCTTGTGATGCAACAGTAGCAGGTCACAATGCTCACCAAAGGGACAAAGAAGGTAAAAATTAAGGCCACCAGGGCCCAAGTCAGTTTCATTGACGTAGCCCTCTTCTCTGCACAGTATGGCTGATCATCAATCAGGGTGAGTTCCCTGGACAGAAGAGTAGGCAAACCTAAAAGGCAGGAGATAAACCAGACGCTGGCACAGACTCCATATGCACAATCTCTCCTCCTGAATTTCCTGGATATGGCTGGACACACGATGGCCAGGTAGCGGTCAACACTCATGCAGGTGAGCAAGAAGACACTGCAGTGCATGTTGACTGAGATCATGTAGGAGCTGCCTTTGCACAGGAAGGAGCCTGTCCTCCACAGTCCTAAAGATGCTTCTTTATCCACCCAGAGAGGCAACGTGACAAGAAAAATAAAGTCAGACGCGGCCAGGTTGATGATGAAAATGTCAATCAGTCTTCGGCTGCCCCGTTTGAAATGCAAGGCACTCATGAGGACGAGGTTCCCCAACACTCCAGTCAGGAACACAGCTGTGTAAAAGACCGGAAGGAAGACCGACATATAAGGAACATGGGAGTGGGTGTCCTCAAGATCAGGATTTTTGCTGGTAACGTAGAAATAATCCAAATAAACTGAGGTTGCTTCTGGGTCCATTGCTAAGGATCAGCTGCCAAACCTGGTATTTCTTTATTTTTTGTATAAATTTTCAAAATCACAAGGTGGCTTCTTTTATATAGTGGCTACCTCTTCCCCACCACCTGCACCACCCCACCCCTTAAAAGATCTTGGGACAAGCATAAAAACAGAGATTAAAAAAATGCAGTTTCTACCAATCCTCAGAAAGGGCCTACAAGGAACACCACCCTGATTGGTGTTTGGTGGTTGTGGTTGTGGTTTTCTTTATTTGCATTTACCCTGGAGACTGGGGTGCTTTTTGACTTCTGTCTTGAAGATATTGTTTGTTTCTTTAAATCCAGAAATTAAAAAACACATTAACTTTTTCCCCTTACCTACTTTAAAGATATCCTTTGCTTTTCTGACACTGACAATCCTTTTGATCTAACTTTCTATTACACATACAAGGTATCACTTTCTTTTAGAATCTTAAGGTGATGATGACAAGGTAGTCCTTTTATTTACATCGAAGTGAGGAAAATAGTCTTTCACTGCAGAAAGAGTGAATTAATAATTCCCCAAATCATACCAGTCCACATCTGCAGCAAACATAATGATTCCAATTAGGGTATGAGATTCTTTCCACATATTTGGCTCTCTCAGTTCATACGTAATTAATCCTGTTACATTCAGTAAGTTTTTAAAAATCTTCTAGAAACTGGGAACATGTCTTGTGCTGTTTTTATTATTATGTGTAAAAATTTTCCACTGTCATTAGCACAGTACCTTGCACATGGTAGGCACTTTGGAAATGCTAGTTTATTTGAATTAATTAGGAAAACTCTTGGTTTCGTGGTCCAGTATAATTAGCAAGTATGTATTCAATGGGGTTCAACTGTAGGCATTTTTGTTAGTTATGTAGCTTACAGGCACAGGTTTAAAAATTGCTATTTTTACGCTCTTATCTGCTATTGTAATTCAACCAATGAAGTTCCCTTTTGTTAGAGTTAAAATCCTCAATTTGGAGATCTGCTCCCTACTAATCTTCAAATAACTATCCTTCAGCAGACTCTAGGTCCCGTCTGATCTTCTCGTCTTCACACCTCGTAGCAGTGATATTTTTAGCTTTTGAACTATGACTTTTTTTTTTTTTTTTGAGTAACTCCACACATCAGTGAGCCTCACTTTGGGGATTATTGACCTAGCAAGAGACAGACCTCTAGTAAGTGACATTATAAGGGAGTTGCTGGTTTAAGCATGATAAAAGAAAGATTTGGGGTTCCTTCAAAACACTTGAGAAACAGGCTAACATCAGAAGGACCCTATCCTATTTTTCTCTCACCTATTCCTTTTTATATTAGGAAAACTATAATGAAATACAAATTCTGAAACCAACTCCATTTATTTCCATTTTTTTACTGGCCCACGTAGCTCAAGGCTCTTTCCTTCTCTCTTTCCCTTCACCTCATTTCATTGCCAAAGTTCCAGTTTTAGGTTGATATTACTATTGCATCAAAAAATATATGCCAGCGGATAAAAACACCATTGTTAAACATGTAAAGTCCTTTCTACTGAATTTTTATTTCTCCCATAATTAACATATTGAAAAGAGTGGTCTTGCTCTTTTTCCTGATGTGTTCTAATGTTACAGCAGTCTTAGGTGTGTGTGTCTAGGGCAGGGAAGGTTGAGGGCTCCCCTGATCTGGGGCAGCCCCAGCAAGTCAGTTGGAATTTGATTTATGACTTGACTCTACCTCCTTTTGTGTCCCTGGCAGCTCTGAGTTGTTCATGGGGGCGCGTATCCTTCCCTAAGTATAGGCTGCAGATGAGAGAAACTAATTAATGCTTTGACACTTCTGGGAAATCTTTCCCACTGAGTAAGCCTTAAATATTTAATAGAATAATTCATTTTGTCAAATAGTTTGAAGTAGGACAATATTTACTTGCTAAGGATTGATGGAGTAAACATAGAATATTGAAACACCGTATCTATATATGTCTCTCTATATAACTATTTTTCTTGTGTCTCAAGAATTCCACAGAAAAGTGTCATAAAATGGAAAAAAGTTCATGCTCATACTCTAGAGGAAAACGTCTGGCTTATATTTATTCTGCAGGCCTTAAATTTTCTTTCAGCATTCAAAAGTTGTTGGCTTGGTGTAAACTATCTCAAATAAATCTGACTTCCTCACTAAACTCTGAAGCAGCTGTAGACCAAATGTTTTGCTTTATCATAATATAGGCACTTTGGAATATGATAGTGGTAGAATGTTGCAATGTGAGAATATCTACCATGTATCAAAACTATCCTGGGCTCCAAGTCAGAAAACAAATTGTTTTGAGGCAAAAAGGGAACAAATAGCATTAGTACTGAGCTTTTAATAACTCAGAGTGCAAAGCTATTATGACAGAACCCACAATAAAAGCCAACTAGGTAAAGTAGGGGAAGTCATCATTCTAAATAAGCTTAGAGCAACGGTCATTTTTAGAACTTTGAATGCTTTTCGAAATAAACATGAGGATAACAAGACCAAAACTCAGAAACAACACTGGATATCATAAGCCTCCAAAAAGGCAGAAAGAAACAAAGTGATGACAAAAAAAAAAAGAGTAAGATGTAAATATTAATAACTGAATGACAGCACACATGCCCACTTTTAAGAATTGTATTTCCAGGAAAAAAAAAAAGCTCAACTTTCCTTTATTTTATTTACAGGTACATAGATATACTTTATATTCAACTTTACATGTTATGCTTTCCATCCCTGGCAGGGATAATTGCTTCCATGTTTGTGTTCTCTAAGAACTTTTACAATACTGCTTATAAGTTCTTATTACCTCATTTCACATGGTTAGTTGTTTTGGTGTCTGACCTCCTGAGCTGATCATGAGCAACTTGAAGGGGGAGACCATCCATTATCTCTTCATTGTCTCTAGCATAGGAGTTACCCAACTAAAATCTTTTTTGGACTCTCAAAGCCATTGTTTTGAACCGGTGGATGTCAGGTCACATTTTCCCATTAGAATCACCTGGGGTGAATCCCAAATTGTAGCTTTCTGAACCCTGTCTCAGATCTACTGAGTCAGAATCATTTGGAGTGTACTCCAAGACATTATATTTAACAAGCCTCCGAGGTGATACTTACACACACTAAAGTTTAGAATCACTGTTCTAATTTATATATCTTAACCAACTTTATATGTTATGCTTCATTACTATTTTGGCTTTCTTTCAAATCACCTCTAAACTTGAACTTCTGATTGGGGGGATGAGGTAATTGGGTGATGGGCATTAAGGAGGGCACATGATGGGATGAGCATTGGTTGTTCTACGCAACTGATGGATTATTGAACTCTACATCTGAAACTAATGATGTACCATATGTTGGCCAATTGAACTTAAATAAAATAACTTGAACTTCTTAGCAATTTTCTAGCCTGGATCTCACAAAATTTTCAGAATTAATTTAGACTTCTGGGCCCTCCCTATTTTGCATCTCATTTCTTGAGATATATGCAGAATTGTGTCAAATGTTGAAGACGGGGAAAGAGTAAGGTGTTGTTCACTGAGATACCTGCTCAAGTGAATAAATTATCCGTCACACAGTCTTAGCTGTGGTTTGTGGACTGTGCTTCCCAGGTCGGCTAAGGGTTTCGTGTGAGTACAGCCAACCGTAACTGGCATTACTGCGTATTACATCTGCTTTTTCCCTGTCAATCACTCTGACCCCCATATTAGTTAGGGATTAATCAGATTATATAGCAAATAGCACAGCAGAAAGAAATCTCTATGCATATGCTCTACTGATATGTTCCTGAATAAGTGACAAAGACTATGAAGCAAAGTATTTGGTTTTCATTGATCTTATCGGTCAGTGATTATATATTTATTTGTTTGAAACATTCTCTTACTTGAGTATCATAAGGGGTATAACCATTTGAACAGGCCAGTTTAACAGATCTGTTTATATTCTAAGAGTCAGTGATTTTTTTTATTTGGACAGTTACTTGGTGAGGGTAGTGTAATGTAAAGTAATATATCATGTCAGACTAAGTGGCATGGATTTGCTCTTATCTGGGTCCTCCCCCACTTCAATTATTAGATTATTTCCTTTGGTATCCCATATTGACATAAACAAAAGTGATATTCCTATTTTAGGCACATGTACTTTAGGCTTCTTCCTAATAGTTGATTTAACCTAGATTTAGGTTGTGCATCACAAAAATTGTGTTTATTTATATTGGCATCCTCTGTACCCAGCACAATGTCTGGCATACGACAGATTGCCAATTAATATTTGTAGATCTGGACTGAATTCTGCTTGAATTTTTTGTTATTTCCAATGAATAGGGACATTTCACAAACTTCTTAGACAGCTTCCATTTTCCACGATTACTGTTTATCGTTGAAACAGCAATGGCCTGTGTTGCTGTATCTTTTCTAATCAGAAGCATAAAACCTTCCTCTTTTCCTTTATCCATCTGCATTTCCCACTATCTCTGTCTTCTGGTACATCACCTAGGCTGGAGGTGTGGAATATATGAATTTCCTAATGAAACTTAAACGTGTGGCTCTATGACAACCATATTTTAGAGTGATGTTACTCTTCTTCCAGCAGAATTATGAATCATAAATTTTAGAGCTGCAAGTGATATTACTGATCATAATTATCCATTTTATGAACAAGGACACTGGGACTCAGAAAGAATCACTTACTAAAGACTCACATTGATGATATTAAAATAGAGGACAGTTTAAACTTAAACTTATCACCTGCATTTGGTCCATTCACTGTCCTTCAGAACCATGGATATCTAAACAACTATAATTTGCTACTCTGTGTAGCATTTGACAGGAATTGCTAAAAGGAAAGCCATTTTAGATGCACTTTTCTATCTGCCTTGTCCTTGATTAATTTCGCCATTGTCCCAGTAGTGAATTGGTACAAGGAAGTTCAAAGATTGATACATTTTTCTGAGGAAGGCTGTGATTGGAACCCACAGCTTGCATATATTTCTATTTTTCTCCTTTTTGCATTCCAAAGTTTATAAGGAAAACAACCAGGACAAAATTATATGAGAAAAACATAATGTAGATATATCTTTCATAAGATAATTTTTAGTTTCTAAA